CCCTCGTTTCCCACGCAAAACGTGCCTGCGGGTCCCTTGCGGGTCCCCGTTTCCCTTGGTTTTCCACCATACCCCATTTGGGTTATATAATATTAATAAATGGGGAGGTGTGTGAGGTGCGAGGCTGGCCACGGAGGCGCACGTCCTCTAACGCTCTAACGCTGCAGCATGCATCATTGTCCAAAAGGTGTGTGAAAGCCATAGAGTTAACTGAGACAACCAGCCACACCATAACTTCAAAACCTGCCGAAAAGGATTTGGTAACATAATCGTGTCCCCCAAAATTCCTTGTTTACTTAATTGTAAGGTGGTGGTTCGTTACCATGCACCACATTTTTCCCACAAAAACCGTGCGCGGGTCCCTGCCGGTCCCTCGCGGGTCCCTCGTTTCCCACGCAAAACGTGCCTGCGGGTCCCTTGCGGGTCCCCGTTTCCCTTGGTTTTCCACCATACCCCATTTGGGTTATATAATATTAATAAATGGGGAGGTGTGTGAGGTGCGAGGCTGGCCACGGAGGCGCACGTCCTCTAACGCTCTAACGCTGCAGCATGCATCATTGTCCAAAAGGTGTGTGAAAGCCATAGAGTTAACTGAGACAACCAGCCACACCATAACTTCAAAACCTGCCGAAAAGGATTTGGTAACATAATCGTGTCCCCCAAAATTCCTTGTTTACTTAATTGTAAGGTGGTGGTTCGTTACCATGCACCACATTTTTCCCACAAAAACCGTGCGCGGGTCCCTGCCGGTCCCTCGCGGGTCCCTCGTTTCCCACGCAAAACGTGCCTGCGGGTCCCTTGCGGGTCCCCGTTCCCTTGGTTTTCCACCATACCCCATTTGGGTTATATAATATTAATAAATGGGGAGGTGTGTGAGGTGCGAGGCTGGCCACGGAGGCGCACGTCCTAAAACGATCTAACGCTGCAGCATGCATCATTGTCCAAAAGGTGTGTGAAAGCCATAGAGTTAACTGAGACAACCAGCCACACCATAACTTCAAAACCTGCCGAAAAGGATTTGGTAACATAATCGTGTCCCCCAAAATTCCTTGTTTACTTAATTGTAAGGTGGTGGTTCGTTACCATGCACCACATTTTTCCCACAAGAACCGTGCGCGGGTCCCTGCCGGTCCCTCGCGGGTCCCTCGTTTCCCACGCAAAACGTGCCTGCGGGTCCCTTGCGGGTCCCCGTTTCCCTTGGTTTTCCACCATACCCCATTTGGGTTATATAATATTAATAAATGGGGAGGTGTGTGAGGTGCGAGGCTGGCCACGGAGGCGCGCGTCCTAAAACGCTCTAACGCTGCAGCATGCATCATTGTCCAAAAGGTGTGTGAAAGCCATAGAGTTAACTGAGACAACCAGCCACACCATAACTTCAAAACCTGCCGAAAAGGATTTGGTAACATAATCGTGTCCCCCAAAATTCCTTGTTTACTTAATTGTAAGGTGGTGGTTCGTTACCATGCACCACATTTTTCCCACAAAAACCGTGCGCGGGTCCCTGCCGGTCCCTCGCGGGTCCCTCGTTTCCCACGCAAAACGTGCCTGCGGGTCCCTTGCGGGTCCCCGTTTCCCTTGGTTTTCCACCATACCCCATTTGGGTTATATAATATGAATAAATGGGGAGGTGTGTGAGGTGCGAGGCTGGCCACGGAGGCGCACGTCCTAAAACGCTCTAACGCTGCAGCATGCATCATTGTCCAAAAGGTGTGTGAAAGCCATAGAGTTAACTGAGACAACCAGCCACACCATAATTTCAAAACCTGCCGAAAAGGATTTGGTAACATAATCGTGTCCCCCAAAATTCCTTGTTTACTTAATTGTAGGGTGGTGGTTCGTTACCATGCACCACATTTTTCCCACAAAAACCGTGCGCGGGTCCCTGCCGGTCCCTCGCGGGTCCCTCGTTTCCCACGCAAAACGTGCCTGCGGGTCCCTTGCGGGTCCCCGTTTCCCTTGGTTTTCCACCATACCCCATTTGGGTTATATAATATTAATAAATGGGGAGGTGTGTGAGGTGCGAGGCTGGCCACGGAGGCGCACGTCCTCTAACGCTCTAACGCTGCAGCATGCATCATTGTCCAAAAGGTGTGTGAAAGCCATAGAGTTAAGTGAGACAACCAGCCACACCATAACTTCAAAACCTGCCGAAAAGGATTTGGTAACATAATCGTGTCCCCCAAAATTCCTTGTTTACTTAATTGTAAGGTGGTGGTTCGTTACCATGCACCACATTTTTCCCACAAAAACCGTGCGCGGGTCCCTGCCGGTCCCTCGCGGGTCCCTCGTTTCCCACGCAAAACGAGCCTGCGGGTCCCTTGCGGGTCCCCGTTTCCCTTGGTTTTCCACCATACCCCATTTGGGTTATATAATATTAATAAATGGGGAGGTGTGTGAGGTGCGAGGCTGGCCACGGAGGCACACGTCCTAAAACGCTCCAGTGTTTGTGGCAAGTTCGCGTCCCAACAACCAAAGAAAACGACTTCCTGCAAAAGGGGTCCAACTCACCAATTCACTTAAATAAACTGGTGCCATACTCGGGAGTCAAATACGATTCCCCGATACTAGGGCGCTATTTGAATTTTAAATATCCCGAGTGCCCTCGGCTTCAAATACTGTCCCAGTATTGGGGAACCGCATTTGTAACATTCTAAATTGACGAGTAACCATGAGGACTCGTCTTGGGTCAGCCACTGGCCTCAGGATGCCACCAGCAGTGTTTGTGGCAAGTCACCTTCAAAACACGATTCCATAACACTGGGACGGTCTTTGAAGCCGAAGGCCCCTCCCAGGATTTGGGTGTCAACTACAATTCCGCAATGCTGGGCCGGGATGTGAAGCCAGTTTGAAGCCGGCTTCAGTAAGGCTTCGAATACGATTCCCCGATACTAGGGCGCTATTTGAGGCCAGTTTGAAGCCGGCTTCAACAAGGCTTCAAATGCGATTCCCCAATACTGGGACGGTACTTGAAGCCGAGGGGACTCGGGATATTTAGGACGGCATTCTACTTCGCTGTAGACAACCCAATGACCGTAACAACTTATTGGGTGGGACACTAAAGCAAAACCTGCCCCAATACTGGGGCGGCGCTATTTGAGGCCAGTTTGAAGCCGGCTTCAACAAGGCTTCAAATGCGATTCCCCAATACTGGGACGGTATTTGAAGCCGAGGGGACTCGGGATATTTTAAATTCTAAATAGACGAGTAACCATGAGGACTCGTCTTGGGTCAGCCACTGGCCTCGGGATGCCACCAGCAGAATTTTAGTTCGCGACCTGCCCCCAAGTCCCCGAACACCATCGCTTCAAGAAAAACGACTCAGTCCCCGAACACCATCGCTTCAAGAAAAACGACTCGACGTTTTGCAAGTCTTATAGGTCTGGAGATATTGACAAATCTGTCAGGCAGCCTGGTTTAAGGGTTTAGGGTTAAGTCGTTTTCTTTGGTTGTTGGGACGCGAACTAGCCACAAAACACTGTGGGGCAGGCCGCGAACTAAAATTCTGCTGGTGGCATCCTGAGGCCAGTGGCTGACCCAAGACGAGTCCTCATGGTTACTCGTCTATTTAGAATTTAAAATATCCCGAGTCCCCTCGGTTTCAAATGCTGTCCCAGTATTGGGGAACCGCATTTGAAGCCTTATTGAAGCCGGCTTCAAACTGGCTTCAAATACTGTCCCAGTATCGGGGAATCGTATTTGAAGCCCAAGCTGGGCTCAAAAGCCCTACTGAAGCTGGCTTCAAACTGGCTTCATGAGGCCAGTTTGAAGCCGGCTTCAATAAGGCTTCAAATGTGATTCCAATACTGGGACGGCATTTGATGCCGAGGGGACTCGGGAACCTCAGAAGAGTGCAAGGGTATGTTTGGCTGCCTGCCAGCATCCATCTCACATGGGGCAAACAAGACAGTGCGCTAACACAGTGTAGCTCTTGCACTGTCCCGCCAACCCGCCCCCCCACCCACCCACTCACCCAGCCAAAACCACACCCGGAAGAAGAAACCAAAACCAACACCACCAACACCAACACCAGCAGCAACAGCAGCAGGAAAACAACAACAGCAACAGCAACCAACAAGAACCAGCAACAACCACCAGCATCCAATAATAACCAAAAACAATCATAAACTCATCAGCGACCAACAACCACCAGGCCTCAGGATGCCACCAGCAGAATTTTAGTTCGCGGCCTGCCCCAAGTCCGCGAACGCCATCGCTTTGGGCTGTCCTAGACTCCCTCCTGTATAAGGGGTCTGAATGCCGTCGCTTTGCACAACACTATTGAGAAAATTGGTTTTGTAAAGCAAATCTTGCTTCCTTGTAAGGCTGAAAGCAAATCTTGCTTCCTTATAACGCCGCAAGCAATCACAAGGCTTCCCTTGTGAATCACAAGCAATGACAAGGCTTCCCTTGTGATTCACAAGCAATCACAAGGCTTCCCTTGTCAATCAGAAGCAATCACAAGGCTTTGGATCTTTGCCTATATCATGTTACACCACCTGCAATAACATAGCAATATCGAAGGAAACTCAGACCGAACAAAAGGAATTGCCGCGACGTCTGCGACGCGATGAAGGCCACGGGACCCTCAAGCCAGCGAGCAACGGAGCAATGGCTTCTTTTGGATGGCATAAAGCAGCGCTGATTCAAAGCTGACACGGAGGGAGCATGTGAGTCCGATTGCAGCTTGCCAAACCTCCACGACGTAATCGCGGTTTCATGAAAGCGTGACCATGGGCATGCATGTTGGGGCTTCTTGCACGGGGTGCTCGGGTTCTTCTAGAGTTACAGACAGTAGTCCTCCACAAGTCCGGCAAGCTGTGGCTTGCATCTGTTGGACCTGCTCCCTCGGTCTACGGAAGAGTGGAAACGACGCTCAGAGTGGTCCGACACAGCCTGCTGATGAGTATGGACCATCGTGCAACTCACATCCTCCACCTCGTGCAGTCACCCACTCGGTCTCAGAATTGCTGTTGCTTACCTTTCCAATACCGAGGTGCTCAATTGTCCATCCAGGAAGCTGCCAGGTGTTGTCCAGGTAGGCCAGGCCAACGAAGTCCCAAGTCAAGGGATTGCAGCAGACCTCAAGGGCCCGGTCGCGCTCTCACTCCAACCACACGTCAACCACAGACGAACCCCACCCATCCATCGAGCGAGCTTCGCGCCTGCTTCTCGAGGAAGGAGGTGTCGGCCGGTCCGATGAGCTTCTGTCCCAGGTCGAGCGAAGACGTCTCGAGAGCCGTAGATGGCCTCAGAAAAGTGTGCTCCAAATCCAAGAGTCAACAAAAAAACCATTCCCGCCTTTCGCAGACCGATTTCTCCAATGGCACCCCAGGGCACGGTGGTTGAGTACTGATTGATGCCTTGATGCCTGTCCGCATCTGTCAGCTGTCAACCCTCATACAAGGTCTGAAGAAGCTGCGGAGCCAGGACGGCCTCTCACGGCCTCTCCCACAGTTCCGGGTCCTTCACTGCTTCAGCACTTCCACCATCTTCAAGCATCTTCAAACTTCGAGACCAGACTTGGGCCTTATCAAGCCGGTCCTGATCCTCCCTGGCCCATGTACACGGAGATCGAGGAGAAAAACACGGTTTTGTTGATGGTCGTGGCCGTGCTGAGCCTCGCAAGTCGAAAGCACCCCCCCGCCCACCCTCCTCACAAACCAAGCAACGGATCTCCGTTATGACGTTATGCTTCTGGCCGCCCAGCCTGTGGAAGTTGGCTGCCGCATGCGCCTTGCTCCCGAAGGTCTGGAAGACCGACGCGCTGACGGTGCGCGTTGCCTGGCAGCATCAACTCTTTGGCAGCGCTCCTTTAAAGTGTGCCGTAGCGCCTGAACGAGAATCTCGACAGGATGGGTAAACTGCGGGCTGGGTCTGGCAGGCTGTGGAGCACGTTGCTTCACCGGCACCAAAGCCGACTTCTCCCTGGGTCACTGTGAACCACAAGACACAGGATCCGGTGACTTCAACGAGGCCGGAGCTTTGGCTGCAAGGTGTTCACCACCTTCGCCTTCGCTTTCTGAGCTTCCTGCATGCAAGACGCAGCCGAGGCGAGTCCAGCTCGCGCTGCTCATCGCTGCCTCTGCAGCCGACGCACCGGACAGGAAGGCCCGATAGTTGAGGAACCTGTGCGAGTCGCACCTTCCCTTCCTGCACTGGCTGCAAGTAGCAGAGCCTGGAGATGCTGGCCGTCTACCGCATGGTTCGTGACCATGTCTATGCACATGCTCCGGGTCGGCTCCTGCTTCAATGGTTTTCGCTGCATCTGCAGCACCGATATGCGACCCGACGGTCACTGGTCACTGTCCTCCAGGCTGTCGACGCGCGGCAGGCGGCCGAGCTCCACGAGCGCCAAGTTCAGGCCCACAGACACGGCTTGCGGCAGGAACCTGCAGCTTGCGGCAGAGCTGGAAAGCGCTGTCTGCAGACGTAGAGTGCCGGCACACCGAGGACGCGGCGTGCTGGCCAGGGCTTCGCGCAGCATTGCGGCACTTCGGCAGGCAACACCCAGGTTGCTGACCTCACAAGAGGATGTCTAGAGGCGGCTTCTGCGTGCACAACACAGCTTTAAAACTCTCAGCCCCTGGCACCGGCGATGAAGCTCACACCCGGGCAAGTCCGCCTGACTTCTGCCACAGCATCGATGAAGTCCTTCGGGGAAGCTCTGTTGCCATGGGAACCTCGGCTTTACGCAAATTCCATGAAAGCAGGGATTCGATGCGTCGACGAGAAAAGCACCCAAAGGCGTGACGAGGCAGTCAAAGATGAAGTCCTGTGCTTCAGCTGTTGTGCACCAAAGTCTGTGCAGTCCAGCGCATCAACGCCCCGAGCTCGAGCACTGCGAGGCCTCCGGCAGGAAGTCGAGCTTAGATCGGAGCAGCTGGTAGGCGCGCTGGCATGAGGTGACTTTCTCCTGATCTGATAGTTCGGGAACTCGCCATCTGCCTGTCCAAGCAAATTCGAGACTGAAAAGATCGAGCTCCTGCGGTTTCAACGACAAGCTACCGCTGCCGGTTGAGGAAACGTGTCAAAGCGACTCTTGACATCGCGAGCACCACAATCGCAGCTCCAAAGCGCCTGGAAAACAACACACAGCTCCGTGCGTCGAGTGCTGTGGAGAGTCAAAGCAGTCTGGTGCTCCTGCACTCTGCTGCCACCCGCACGAACTCTTGCTCGCTGCTGGCCATGGAGATGCCGTTGACAATGCACTTCCCCTGTGTCGCACGGTGAAGCTCAAAGCACACAGCACAGCATCATCCCGCATCATCGCCTGCGTGCTCTTCAGTCCCTCTGAGATCACTTCCCAGCTCATCGAGCTGATGATCAGGGGCAGTTTGGAGACCTTGGCAAAGACATGCGCGACATGGCGCGAGGCGGATGCCATGCGATTCATGCGCCGGCCGCCGAGGAGCCCGTGGGTGCACGTCCGCACAAACTTACCCATGGCAGCTTTGCTGTCGAAGTCCGGCAGATCCAGGTTTACGTCCAAGAGGTCGGCCTGGCACTATGCGACTAGGTGATTAAGCCTGCCGTGATCAAAGAAGAGCTGGTGAGGGCCTCGTCCTCTATCTGCTGCACAGCCACGTCGACCGCTGCCTCCCAGACATCGTCTTCCTGGCTGTACCTCAACAGCAAATGGAAACGTGCACAGTAGTAGTACGGTAGTGTACAGTAGTACAATTTTAGTACAGTAGTAGAACAGTAGTAACAGTAGTAGTACAGTAGTAGTACAGTAATAGTAAAGTAGTAGTAGTACAGTAGTAGTAAGGAGTACCTGGAGCTGTTTACCGGGGTTTCGGGATCACCAAATGCTGGACACAAAAACCCCGATCGCTCCAAGATAACTACCAAGACTAAACACCCTTCATTTCGAACACTTTTGCCTCCAACCTACACTCCCGTCCACAATCGAGCACGTCTGAGCCCTTTTTTTCTACAGTAGTCGTGCTGCAGTAGTACAGTAGTGGTACAATAGTAGTACAGTAGTAGTACAGTAGTACAAGAGTAGTGCAGTAGTAGTACAGTAGTGGTACAGTAACAGAACAGTAATAGTACGTACAGCAATAGTACAGTAGTCGTGCGAGCACACTCCCCCAGTAAGCAAGGCACAAAGCCAGTGAGCACATTCCCCCAATAAGCAAAGCATAAGCGTAAAGACAGGGAGCACACGAGCAAAGCATAAAGCCAGTGAGCACACTCCCCCAATAAGCAAAGCATAAAGCCAGCTCCTGCCTTAGGATTGACCATCAGCAGACAGTCACCCCCCAAAATTCCCCCCAGCCAAAAAGACATCAATTAAGCCGCCCTATTTTTTGGTACCGGCTTGAATTAGCCGGCCGAAGATGCATTAAATAGGTCTACATTCCTAAACGGGCCGCCACATTACTACACTCGCGGGCCCGACAGTGTCCCGTCGAGGGTCCCTTCAGTGCTTTTTCAATACACCTTTTTTGGCTTCACGATGTATCCGTGCATGAACTCCGCTTTTCAGTTGCCGAACACCCGGGATTCATGCGAACCTGGCCGGCCTCTACCTGTACCTGACACTTCCTGATGCATGAGCCATAGATTATCAGAGAATCTGACGCAGCTGCAATCCCTTGCCGTCTCTGAACGGAAGAGTGTGGTCTCCCATTAAATGCTATCTGAGCAGAACGCATCTGCATGGTAAGACCTGGCATGCTTTCAACATGCTCAGCTAGACAAGCGGCCTCCGCATGGCACAGAACGCGTTCAAGAAAGCGACCCTCGCCGGAGGATCAGCACCTGGAGCATCTACTGATGTCTCCTTACACATGCTGTTGTACTCTTCTGGAGCAGGACCTCTTGTGAAGAATCTCCCTTGCTGTGTATGATGTCCCCTTCTTCGAAGCTCCTCATTTCAACCCGTCGAGCTGGCCAAGGCCCTGAAGCAGCAGCAGCAGCAGCAGCAGCAGCAGCAGCAGCAGCGCCAGATTCACTTGTAATGCTCATGAAACAGCCTTAAGGCTGGGAGCTGCAACTGCAAAGCCGCAGAAATCTAATCGACCGACATGCTGCCACAGGGAGGCAACAGTGAGGGCTATACCCACAAGCTGGATAGCATGATTTAAGGAGGAGATACTTCCATCCCACCCGGTGCGCTCAAGCATTGCGGCATCCTCATCACGGGTTCATGGCTTGTTGAGAGTTCGTGTCGAATGTAGATAGGGTGCTTGGCACATGAGCACATGGACCCGCCCATTTCTGAAGTCTGAAATGTTGGCATTGTCGGTCAAGTGTGTCCATAGACCACTTAATCCCTTCCCCGTAATGAACCCCCCCCTCCCCTCGCAATACAAACTCGGAAAGTGTGTTTATGATCAGGTGTTAATTTTATCTCTACTTTGACTTTTGAAGGATCTGGCTGTTGCTCCTGCTCCTGCTGCGTCTCTTGCTCGCGCGGGCTTCTCTCAGGCTCGTCCTAATGGAAGCGGGTTTTGCTCAAGCAAGACTCATGGGGTGCATTCGACATCTGTGCTGGAGCCTCTGTTTTTGGAAAAAAGCCTATGCGGCGCGGAAATTTCAAATGCCCTGATTTTTGTCGGCCACCCCCTGAACTGCTTGGCCTTTCGGCCATCTGCTGCAGAACCTCCGAGTCTCCACCATGCTGGACTTTGTTTAACATTTACAACGAAGCCTGGCCTCAGCCGCCCCAATCCTTGTCTCCACCTCCTTGACCATTAGGCTGGCGACCAGCCTCGAATGAATCCGAGACGATGGACAAAGTTGATGAAATGAGAGCAGCCCTGTAAGGGCAGAACGAACGGCCCACGCCAGAAATCCCCTGCCATGCAGCCACTGGCTCGAACTGCCATTTCCTTATCTGCGAGCTGCCTCCATATCCACCGCATGCCTTGGCAAGAGCAGCAACTCTGAGGCTTGAGCGCGATCTTCACACTGCGCAAGATCTGGCAGTTGTCGCCGGAGAAGGGTGGCCAGCCAGACAGAAGCCAGAACAGAAGGACCTCCGTCAGGAGCAATGGTGCACCGCCCTGCCGTAACGCCTCCTAGCTCTCGCATCCGGTGCCTTCTGTGTTGCGTTTTGTTTGTTTTGCTTTGTCATCCTTTTTCCGCACCGGACACGTGGGGTTGTTAGATTTAAGGACAGAGCGGCGACGCACATCATGCGACGTGACCCTCAGGACAGAAGGCAGTACAGCATTGAGGACCACAGGCAGACACCAGGGAGTACGAGATTGTACCGGACACAATAAGCAGGCCAGGGAGGCAACTGCACGGCGATGTGGCCACATGCAATAAGCAGGCCAAGGGGGCTCAGGCGGATGTGTCCAGACGCAATAAGCAGGCCAAGGAGGCGGGCAATGGTACAGGAACGTGGGTCGACGCAATAAATAAGCCAGGGAGGCTCAAGCGGACCAACAAAAAGAGACTGCAAAATGTGCCCTCCCGTTAGACTCAGATCCTGAGGCCGCGGCACCGCTTGACCACATGTCTATTCTATGGTCATACGCACCTCCCAAAACATAGCACGCAACTCGAAAGCTGGATGCAGGAGAAGTGAGTCGGCGGCACTTGCCTGCCAACATCTCCGGAGCCACGAACTGTGCTGTGAAGACCTGCTGTCAACGAAAGCCAACGACAGCGAACATCTAAAAACAGAAGTCGCGCCAGCAGTCGTAATTTGAACAGAAGAGAACTCGAGTGTCAGCTCAAAGGCACCGTGGTCGTGAGCTGCCGCTTGTTGTAGTATGCCGCAGCACCGAAATCTAGAAGCCTGACGTGAAGGTCCTTCACACTGCCAAACTGTTTTACTGTAAGACCAGTGGCAGCAAGCAAACAAGGGCACAGAGGCAAAATCACGTCCTGGGTGCTTTGGACCATGACATTCGCAAGCTTAATGTCGCGGTGGCAGACACCCTTCATATGTATGAAAGCGACTGCAGTCCTGAGTGCAATGCACACCAGATACCGTTTAAGATGGTTCATTCCTTCATTCCCGAACAAACAAGGGGATGCTGGCTAAACCCTAAACCCTAAACCCTCAATCCTGGACTGTACTCCTAAACCCTAAACCCTCAACCCTAGACCCTAAACCTTAGACCCTAGACCCCTCCTAAACCCTAAATCCTAGAGGACGCTGCATGGATTGAGTTTCCGACATCAGCTGCTCGAAGATACAGAGCGCACGTTCTTCAGGCACAGCGCCCGCCTGCTCAGGTTCGCAGGGCTTTTTGAGTTGTCTCCGGTTTGTCATGCGCAAGTCTTCGCCAGAAACCGGGTCCTTTGTTTACGCCCTTCAGGCATTGCTTGAAATAGTTTGTTGAAAGTTAAGCTTGTCCGAGTTGTAAGCAGGAAGACCCTAGCCCAAGGCTATCCATCTAGCACACGTGAGACCACTCCGAGTGCCGACAACTTCTCATGCCAAGGCACCCTCAGCATCCAAGAGAGGTCCTGCTGGTAGAGGTCCATCACGAGGTAGATGCACCTCAACGTGGAATCAAAAGGGTACTTCAGCTGTCGACCGGGGAGTGCTGGGGCTCCAGCATGCCCTCCTCCCATGCTCCGTGGAGCTTCGCAACATGTGTCTCAGCGCGAAGGAAAGAATTCATGCCAACACGTCGTCACGCAGGATGCAATGCTGCCAGCTCATAGCGCTCACAGCGCTCAGGTGGCAGCGTGCTGTAGGTCTCGCAGGATCTGAAGCTCAGCCTTGCAAGCAAATTTCAGACACTAGTCGCCGCTCCGCAGTGACACGGACTTGATAGCAAGTCGCTGGGCCTTCATGGTCGCTGGGATTTCCTTCACCTGCGAAACTGTCAATGCACAGCGCGCAATTCGGGCCGTGGCTGGGGCCGCCACTGCAAACACTCTCGATGTCCTTACGATGGGATATAGCGCTCAAGGCTGATGGGTTCTAGGGCTTCTGGACGTCAGGTTTGATGCACCGGAGGCTTTTCTTCGGGTTCCTGAAGGTTCTGGGTGTCCCTGGGTTAAGGATGGTTAAGGGCTCTGTCTTTATGAGTGCTTCGGGCTTTAAGCTTTTATGGGTTTCGGGTTGTCCAGGCTTCGTTGGCATGCAGGGAGTGACAGCACACTCAGGCAGGACAGACATCCCGAGCAGGCATTGGGACTTCATATTGAGTTTCTGTAGCAGCTTCGTGAGGGCTTTAGTTCAGCACGTAGGGTTTAGGATTGGTGGAGAGTTGTTCTTTGCATTTGTTTGGTGTACTTCTTTTTGAGTGGTGGGGGGCTCTTCTTTTTTTGATTGCATCCTAGTTTCCTTGGAAACCATAGTAGATTTGTCTTGAATTTCATCTGAGATTACGAGGCATATCTACATGTCTCGTCACTTTCATAGGAATTGCATCGGAAACCTGAACTTCTCATGAGTTTGAGCTTAGTTTAATAAGAAAAACTGCGTCTTCTTTCGTGATTTTCATTGGAGTGTCAGAAGACAATTCAGATTGCAACTGCACTTTTTCAATTTGCTTACTAACCCCGCTCTCGTCAATTTCATCGGAAAACCTGAATTTGTCATGAATTTGATCAGAAATTTAAAGAGAGCGAGAGAGAGAGAGAGAGAGAGAGAGAGAGACAGAGAGAGAGAGAGAGAGAGAGAGAGCGAGAGAGAGAGAGAGAGAGAGAGACAGCGCGAGAGAGAGAGAGAGACAAAGAGAGAGAGAGAGAGAGAGAGAGAGAGAGAGAGAGAGAGAGAGAGAGAGAGAGAGAGAGAGAGAGAGAGACAGAGAGAGACAGAGAGAGAGAGAGAGAGAGAGAGAGACAGAGAGAGACAGAGACAGAGAGAGACAGAGAGAGAGAGAGAGAGAGTGCAATTGGGGCGCACATTGAAAACCAGACAGTCAGACGATCAAACACTCAGATACTGAGATGTAGAAGTTCCGTTCCTAAGATTTCTGCCTATCAACGGTCTGCTTCTGATTTTTCTGACAGATAATCTGCGAGTCACTTCGGTTTCTCACTATCTCATTGACTGTCTGGGTGTCTGAGTGTCTGCTTCTTATTTTCTGACTGTCTGTTTTCGAATTATCTGCTCGGTTTCCAGCTGTCTGTCTGAGCGTCTGAGTGTCTGAGTGTCTGATAAAAAAGGAGAGTGTCTGAGTGTCTGCCGCACGATTTCCGCCCCCACGCGCGCCCTCAATCGAGTAAGAAAATGCACGGCTTTCGTTAATTCATTGGAGCTTCATGGGAAAATCCAGATTAGTATTACACGTTGTATCAATTTACTAGCTCCGCCGCATATGTGAGTTTAAGAGGCAAAATCTACATTTTTCGTCAAGTTCATAGGAGGTTCATAGGAAAGCCAGGATTTCTCATGCATTGGATCAGAATTAATAAGACAACGTACGTCTCTATTGAGTTTCATAGGAAAAACCAGATTGCTATTACACTTTATATGAATTCACTCCATATAATACACGCAAAAGATGCTATATATAGTTTACTATGAATAATGTATGTATATATGTATATATACACTATATATACGATATATACAAAATATACTAGATATACTATATCTACTATATTTACTATATGTAGAGTGTGACGCCTGTGTTTTTCGAGTAAGACAAGCCTATTTTCTTCAAATTTCCTTATTTTCTCACATGTCTTGCAATCTCTGCACACACAATAGTGACTAGATAGACATAAGCCTGTCCAAAAAATGCAGGTATATCATCAATCAGCATTTCATGCTTTGAACCCTTTATTAAGGCTGGTCGTCCATCATAAACTTCCAATTTCTTCTATAAGGGACCCAAAAATCCCCTTTAGGGGTTTGCAAAGTTTGCCATCCACTGTCAAGTTTCAGAATTTGGGTATGCTACCATCTTCTCTTTGCTATAACTTGAGATGCTTGGGACCTGGATAAACTTTATATCGAGTTTGTCATCCAGTCTGTTGCCAAGAAGTAAGATTTTGGATATGCGGCCCATCATCTCTTATCTGAAATATCGGATGTTTAGAATAAGCTACCCTTTCTCGGCCTTCAGGATTGCATCTTGTTATTGTCTTTGAGGTTTGCGGTTTGCGCCCATCCTACCTGTCCATTTTGGGATAAAGCCCAGTCGCATTTTAGGAGTATTGCATTTAGGTTTAGCATCTCCTTCATATGTTTGGAACTGAAAGTATAATATGTCCTATGATTCATGTTTCAGCTTTTTATTCGCCAGTTCTTATTTTGCATTGCACTTATAGGATTTGCATTGTCCGAACCATTCTATGATTGCAGGAGTAAGGATTCTTTGGAACCATTATTCCGAACTAACTACCTTCTTTATTGCCGCGGTCTTGCAGTCTGTGCAATTCGGAGTCTCTCACCCTGGCACCAACAATGAAAGTTTGTCTATCTACTTATTGTTCTTAGTCATACGCTGCTAAAGCTTTTTCTGTAAGGAAAACTAATATTCCTCATAAGTTGTGGGAGATGTCACCGAGTATCTCCTGCTCGCAATTTAAAGCATAGTTGTCTGAACAACTAGGTTTTTTACTTACCATGAAGAATAAGGATGGAAGGTCTTTTGAAGACTCCTCAAAACAAGCCGATAATCACGAGTATTTTGCTCAGGAAACAGGGCTGGCGGGGAGCTCCGATACTTGGGAGCCCAAAGCCCCAACAAGCTCGTATGTATTTATGCACAAAATTGGTGGCTTACTGTCATTATGAAGAAGACCATGTCATGTCACAGTCTAGTATTGTTTAAATGATTGTCTTTCACATTTAACATATGAAATACATGCAAGCCAGCAAGAATACATAATAATAGATTCATATCAGTATACCCCAGCATATAGAATATACGTCGACGCATGCCAATACACACTATACATGCGTACGGAGTAAGTAGAAGACATTTTGTCTTTGTCTTGTAGTTCTGATCTGAAACTTCGATATGTCTGAAAAGGTTATGTCTGATAGAGACGAAGACATGCGTGCATCTTCTTTGTCAGTCTTGGTTGTTAGTGTATATTGGGATGTTCCCTTTTATACTAACAGCCCTTAATAGGGATTATGATAGGGGGGAATATAAACCCTATTAAGAACTGTTAATTAGTATAGGAGGGAATCCCAAAGTGTACACGGTTGTGTTCCTTAAGCTCCGAAGCTTCCAGATTCCGACTATGTCTGAGAGGCTCCGTTCCAGGCTCAGGGGGATAGATAGGCCTGGCTGTTAAGTTGGTGCAGAGCTCCTCCGCTGGGCTGATTTCGGGCTCAAGTACTTCCACTATCCAAAGCACCCACAAGTGTTCAAACTCGGGCAGTCTGTGCCTTTGTCCAGATGAACACGATGGCACTGCAAATAGCAACAAAATGGAAAGCAAAGTGGAACGGCTCGGGCAAACAACCCTCAACGCTTGAGTGACGGGGTCAAGTTCAGGCTGCAGGCGCAAACCACCACTGACACAGCGACCAGCAAGGAGATCCAATCCAGGAGCCCGCGAAGTCCGCCTGGAAAAAGTTCAAAGCTGAAGCACGTTGAGCGAAGAAACCTTTCCGCCCAAACATCTCCCGCTCACTCTGACACTCTTAATTACTCTCTTGTGTGCACATGTGGGACTTGCAAGGACAGCTGCAGCATACACAACACGCGGTGGAGATTGCTCGCAACAATAAAGGACACACACTCGCTTCACTCTTGACGAGCACAAAACAGTCGCGACTGTTGCGTCACGTTGACGTTCAAGTGTGTTTGTGCAGCGCGTGTCTCACAACAATCTTTCAGCATACCTGGCCACAAAACTGGCAGCTACAAAAACAAAAAGAACATATCGGCGTGTCAAGCACGTCAAACTGGCTTGCGCGTGAATCAGTTGCAGTCTTCCCGGGTTTGCAGGCCTCAACCTGCGACCAAACCCCGAGGCATCACCAAACCGGCGCAGAAACATTGAAACGTCAGTGCGTCGATGTGAAATCCGGCATGCAAAGTGAAATCTACACTCTGGAGTAAACACGGAGGAAACTATCATCCCAAATCATGCATTTTTCTTTGAACACCATTCTTTGCCTGCAAAAATACAGCTAAAATATTTGATTTCTCCCAAAATCAATCAATTGAAGCCCTCAGATCTTGCAATGTTGCATAAGTGCCGACAACCTGCTGATGTTCGCTGAAATTTCGTTCACAATTCGTTTAAAATTCGTTCAAAATTACGTAAATCTTTGTTCCATACCGAAAATCAATGGAAAACACTCAAACTCAGGCCTTAATTTTCGCTCAAAATTCGTTCGTAATTCGTTCCCGACCTCCTGACCCCGATCAAGCCCATCGACGAAATCTATCTTTTTAAGCTGATTTTCGGAAATCTGTGAAATCTGAAGGTTTCTTGGACAAATCCTAGTTTCCATTGATTTCTTGGATGATTCGGCTTGTTCTGCTGCACAAACTGCTTCCAAAGAGAAATCTGCAAAGTCTTTGCAGTAAAGCAGGAGGTTCCAATGATTTTTGATGACAACAAAGTCAGCTTGCAAAGCATGCAAAGGATCGTGCGCTCGGAGCTGACCGTCTGACAAACTCGCTGCGGCAACGCTTTGGGATCTAGTCTAACACTGTCGAAGTTGTCTGAAGCTGTCAAAACGCAACCGCCCTTTGACTGAGTGTTGTTATGTTACAGCTATGCCGCAGCGAGAAACACTGCTCCTTGCGGCGCGTGTCTGTGCAACATTTTTATAAGTCGAGCTTTCTCTGAGCTATCGAGGCATACCCGGTTTTTCTGACACTTATATAACAGGTGAAACATCGTAAAAAGGCATTTGTTCTACACTATTCTATGCGCCACGCACTGCCGCTGAGCTGGTAACCCACCGTGCGAAACAACGAACTTCCGAACAACCTTGTCGTCTGGAATAATGCTGACCTG